GGAGTCAAAGAACTGGTTATTTGCAGATGATAGGATTATATAACAAGAGAAAAACAGAACTATCAGGAAGGTCAGAGACAAAATAAACATCCAAAACTCAATAAGAGTCTTATTTATTTGCTACAACACGTGCACATGTTTGACAGGGGAAAAGCAATCCAATTTTCAGCAGCCAAAGTACAAACTACCCAGGAAGACGCCCCACAAGAATTATGCAGGACCTGGAGTAAGCTACAAAACTGGGCTGATAAATTTTATTAACTCTGAAATATGATATACATTCTACATCAATATTATCACATTCTGATGTGGAATCCTAGGCTTAGACAGGTCACAGATTTGCCTAGAATGGCTCAGCTTGTTACTAAACAATCAAAGCCAGAACCCAGCCTTGGCAACTTTCTGGGATCAAGAAACCAGAAGCTGCATTGACCTGGCCCACCACTGGCATCTTCAAGGAGCTTTACTGTACTGAAATTTAGTCCCACTGCAATTGAAGAATATTCTTATTTAGAGCCAGGCGTGGTGGCTCATGACTGTAATTCCAACACTTTGGGAGGCCGAGGGGGGCAGATCATTTGAGGTCAGGAGTTTGAGACCAGCCTGGCAAACATAGCGAAACCCCATCTCTACTAAAAGTACAAGTATTAGCCAGGCATGGTGGCAGGTGCCTGTAATCCCAGCTACTTGGAAGGCTGAGGCAGCAGAATCGCTTGAACCTGGGAGGCAGAGGTTGTAGTGAGCTTAGATCATGCCAATGCACTCCAGACTGGGAGACACAGTGAGACTCCACCAAAAAAAAAAAAAAAAAGATGAATATGCTTATTTATTCCCCCTCCCCAAAGGAGCCTTGGCGTATAACATTTCAGTGGGATGCGTGACAGCAACCTCTGTTCTGATGTGTGTGTGTATGTGCTTTCTTCCTCTCTCTGCTCTTCCTGCCCCTGCTATCCTACTGGCCTCATTTTAGAGCTAAATCTTGTGAACTTCATCTTCATTCTGAGCTATTCACCTCTGACCTTTACTAAGAACTCAAGAGAGCTTTTCTCTCATCCTTCATTGGCAAATCATCTGAGTGAGCAGTTACACATTCCTACATGAGTAAGAACACAGCATCAGCTTTGAGGAACTGCCAGGAGAAAGACATTCCTTCCGGGTCACAACCTATCACAGACAGAAATCAGGCACCTCTCCCTGATGTGCAGAAAAGTTTAAATAAAATAACGCCCTCCCGCTCCTAACCCTCACAGAAGAAAGCCCTACCAAGCAGAAATGTCTTCCCAGGAAGAGAAGGTAAGTTAGTTAATTAATTAGTTAGTTAACACATATTCTGGGTAGAAAATCTATCCTGTTTTTAGCTAACAATAAAGGAAGCCTGGCCTGACATTTCAGCTCAGGGTTTAAAACATGAACTTATTCTTTTGCCTTTCTTGCACTTTCCAAAAACTCACAGGTTTTGAAGTCAAAGCTTCATGGGTACTCAGAGACCCCAGATCCCAAACAAAGGCACTAGAAGGCTGCAGATGATGCTTCGGGAGCAGACCAAAACTACCCTTGGCACTTTTGTTCCTTCCTGGGGTCAAAGGGATTGGTTTTACTGCAGGACGAAACTGAAGTTTCAATAGAATTTCCTTTGTCAACAATGTCCGTGGGTGAAGTCTTTTTAAAGCCCTTAACACAAAATAATTTTCCACCATATGTGATACCCAACAAAATAATTTCCATCGAAACCTTAAATCAGCCAAGTACGAATCAAGTCAAAGGAGGAGTACTGGTAAGGATGGGAGAAATGCCCCCAAGGAAGCTAAAGAACACGTGTGTATCCCTGGAGGCCTCAGAAGAGGGTTGGGGTTTTCAAAAATGAGGTGTTTTCCAGTTTACGACCAGCAGATGGCAGAATAACTCAAGAAAAGAAGCCAGGCTCCTTTCGTTCCTTAGATCCCTTTCAAAGGTTCCTAATCAGTCAAGCGGAAAAATATCCTTTTCATTCAAACAAGTTGCTGCGGAGGGAGTAGGGGAATTATGGGCTTCAAATAATAGTGGGTATAGGTTTAGTGTTGGTTAGTTAAAAAACATATACCATATGACGAAAGTTACAATGAACTCATTACAACTTTTGAAGAAATTTATATTTTCATAATCACGCAAAAGCATCTGTGCACATTTGAAGCATAGAAACATGGTAGAAAATGTGTGAAGACAATCCACTCCGAGACAATCCTTGGCACACTTATACATTCCCAGACCTTGGCAATAACATTGGCTGCTACAGTTACCATTATTAGCATTATCACTGTCACTACTATCAACATTATTACTCATATCACAATGATGTATCTGCTAAACATTGGGAACTTCAGAAATGAGGTCTCCTTAAAATAATTCATCTCTGCAGGGAATGGTGTCACCCCGTTGGGTTGGGGGGGCATCTAGTCATTCATAATGTCCCTCGGGGGTCCTGAATCCACAAGATTCATTACCCATCATCCACAGGATTCACCATCCACCCACCATCCGCAGGATTCACCATCCACCCACCATCCGCAAGATTCACCATCCACATATCATCCGCAAGATTCCCTGTTCACCCGTCACCCGCAGGATTCACCGTCCACCCGTCATCCACAGGATTCACCGTCCACCCGTCATCCACAGGATTCACCGTCCACCCGTCATCCACAGGATTCACTGTCCACCCGTCATCCACAGGATTCACCGTCCACCCGTCATCCACAGGATTCACCGTCCACCCGTCATCCACAGGATTCACCGTCCACCCGTCATCCACGGGATTCAACACTGCTTTCTTCAGCCCCTGTTTCTTCCTCACTCCCACTCAGCAGTTTGCTGAAAGCCTGAAGAAGCTGAGCAAAGTTAAAAGGACAGAGTGGATCAAAAGTCTCCACTTTCTGCCTAGCTAAGTGTCAGAACTGCAAAACTTGCTTGTTACAAATCACAAGGACTCCGCGTTGTGTTGACTTTAATGCAGAAAGTATCATGTAAAACTGCGCCTCTGTAGGAATGAAGAGTTTCCTAATGAGAAAATATTTGTAGTTGTCAAGAGTACAAGATCTGGAGTCCCAATATGTGGGTCAGGAGATAGATATTTCTGTGAATATCAGCTGTGTGATTTTGAGCAAGATACTTAACCTCTCTAAGCTTCTGTTCCCCACTTGCAAAAGAGAAAGCATATTTCTTGTTCCCTGGAGTTTTGTGAGATAATCTACATAAAGCACTTAAGGCAGCACCTGGTACACAGCAATGCTCATTAACGCTGGCTGCTATAGTGCCTATCATTGGCATTATTATCATTGTCACTGCTACCATTAGTATTATTTGTATCAAAATAATGTATCATTAAACACTGGGAACTTCAGAAATGAGGTCTCCTTTAGGGAATTCATCTCTGCAGGGAATGGTGTGACCCCATGGGTGACATCTAGTCATCCATAGTGTTCCTTGGTTTTCAATATTTCCAAAGTATCCTAATAAAGCAAGGGTGACATTTCTTCCTTGGCAATGTCAACACAAGACCTCCTGACATACTAAAGAGCTCAGACAATGAAACATCTTGGGGGAACTGCCTTCCACCACCACGAGCATTGGAGCCGCCATCCCTGAAGTGGTCACTCTGGGCAGAGGATAATGACTCTGAACTGTCTCTGCAGGGGACGTATGGATGCATGGGTATATGAGAATGGAGATGTCTGTACTGGGCTTCAGCATTTTTAAAAAATCTGAAAATCTGAACCCACGTCAATGATACTTGGTCCTAAAACTTCCTTCCCAAAGGTCTGATATTGGTAGAAATAACATTCTCCTTTTTATTGCACACTTTCTCACCTTAAATAACAGGGAGCCTTTGCTACAGTCTAGCCTGTGAGAACAATACAGAATAAACTTAAAGAGGTATCCTTCCTGGGCTTCACCCAGCCATTCCTTTCCTAAAGTGGCCAGGAGTCACTACAGGTAGAGACTTTACTGAGACACCAGATGCGTATGTGGGTGCAGACAGGGGGAGACAGAACATTCACCAGAGGTGAGAATTCGTGGCGTTAATTAATTTTGTATTGAAGTGGTAAATATGGGGCAGTTAATGTGACTGACATTGAACTATCTGTGCCATGGTATTTCAGGTGCCACTGCATAGCCCATGGCCACCCACTTACTTACCATTCACAACCTGATGAGCTTGCTAAGTACAGTTCAAGAAGGGAAACAGCAGAGGGGTAAATGCTCAGTTTAATGAATAATGTGGCCTTGGGGAAGCATGGTTAAGGTCCTGCCCTGATCCATCTTGAGGGCTGCAGAGGAAAGTTTCAAAGAGGCATTCCTAAAGCACAACAGCGTGGATGGCCCATCTCATTTGTCCCAGGACCAGGAGGAGGAGAAGTAACATGAATTGAGGAAGTAGCCCCACAAAGATGTGAACAGGAATTTTCTAATCCTCCACTGATTTTTTTTTCCTCTAAAAAACACTCCTGGCTGACCATGGACCATACTGATCAACCCTCCAAAGTAATATTAGGTGAAAGAATTACAACAGGGCTCTATTAGTCCTGGCATGGAAAAGCTTCTAAGGTCAAATTAAAAGCTCAACACCCGGGCTTTGGACTAGTTCAGGAATCTTAGCAGTAAGAGCCCTAGGCCCTTTCTCTGGGCAGCCACTCTTAATGAGACATCACTTTCTGCTAATTTCCATTAAAGGTTCAAGTTCTTGGAAAAATGGCCCAACTGACCGTCCTAAGTCAAATGTCTCCATCCTTGCATGAAACAGCTCTCGCCAGGAGATCAGGGTATCGAGGAGCCAGCACAATACAGACACAGCCACCAGGGGAGCTATGGAGTCTCTGGCAGCCATGACAAGTTGTGATGCTGACACCAGCCTTGGCGCTCATTCCCGGCCATATTTCATTCTTATCTTCCTTCTGGCTCCCTCCCAAAAACAGTCCCCACAACTGTCACCCTGATGTGAGGGAAGCCTGTGCTCACTCACTTACTTATCATTCACAAGTTTCCCATGTTGGTGGATCTGATTTTCCATCGTGAAGTTGATTGTGGCGCCGTACACATGCTCACCAAAAAATACCTTCATTTTAGACTTGTATTCTTCATCTTGAAAATAGCGGATCATATCAGGAAACCAAACTGTCAGTCCATAGTAACTGGAGTGGAGAAGGGAGAAGGTTGGAGCAACAAGAAGATTAATTCTTTCATGATCAGGGTCTACATTCTTGACTTGATGTAGATCAAACTCATTGAAAATACATTAATTTGGTTCATTATTAGAAAAACTGATAATATAAATCCTCGTATTAATAGATACAAGAGGAAAAAATATGACCACCTCCATAAATGCTGAAAAGGCATTTGATTTAAAAGAAATTTTTTCCTGATAAAAACACCAATAGATTAGGGATTGGTGGACACCTCCTTAACACATCAAATATACATGTCTCAGACAGAATCTTAGTGAATAGGAAAACGCTAAAGACATCCCCACTGGCTGATGTGGTGGCTCATGTCTGTAATCCCAGCACTTTGGGATGGTGAGGAAGGCAGTTCACTTGAGGTCAGGAGTTCGAGACCATCCTGGCCAACATGGCAAAACCGCATCTCTACTAAAAATACAAAAATTATCCAGGTGTGGTGGTGCATGCCTGTAGTCCCAAATGTGTAAAGGAGGCCACTGAGACACACAGAATTACGAAATTTAAATAAGACAGAACTTACCTTAATGCCATGGCAAACCAAACCACGGCCAGAATCAGTGTATTCATTCTGTAGGGCCCCATCACACAGTACAAGGCATTATCCCAGACCTACAACCCATATCAGAGAAGGATTGTTAAAGAAAGCAATGTGTGACTTTGTTTCTCCCACAATCAAAGAGCTCATTACTCAGATTTTCTAATAAATTGCCTAGGAACCCATGAAGAGAATGGGCACCCCACTGTCTCCTAAAGGCAGCAAATCTCTCCAAATAACAAGGAAAGCTTCTTCTCTTCTTACTGGCTGGCCTCATACTCTAACAGTCCAATAGGATTTTCCCCGGGAACACAATATTCCGTGAATGTGATTGAAAGCACACTGAGTTAGGACTTCAAGGCACAGAGTAACCTGGACTACTGAGTTCTACGCCCTGCCTGTGGGCAAGGGGGATATTGCAAACATTTATTGACCATACACTGCGAAGACCATTCAGTCCCAACAGACTCTGGCTGGCTGGCTGCCTCAGTGCTCAATAGCTGACTGAATCCCTACTTGGAGGAGCCAGTGCTCCAGAGAAATGGCATTGCCCATTTAGAAAAACATCTCTTGGAAATCAAGAACAAGCTTCAAGGGATCGTTTATTTCACTCACTTCTTCCTCCCTGTGGATTATTTTAAAATTTGCTAGAGAGAAGATGTTTACTCAGACTAGACATTTTACCTACATTCAAAATCCCTGCCTTGGGAAGGAAGAACAAAGAAAAGAAACTAAGATTTAGAGAGTTTTCAGCTCCAGGGCACACAGCAAGCTAGAGGCAGACGTGGGCTGGAGCCCGAACGCCCCCTTCCAGGGTTGATTCCTCTCCAACACGCTGCCCCAGGTTGGTGGGGATGTTCAGGATCTGCATTTTTCATCCACTAAGGTTAGAGACTCCCATAGAGCCACCTTCTCACCCAAAGTAAGTTCCCAGTCACACCTGCTTGAAAATGGTCTTGAATCTGACCAGCCAGCGCTGGTACCAGGTTCCTGTTGAACTTTGGATCTCAATGAATTCATCCATTTGCTTGGGAGTTTTGATGTTGGAAACCTGAAAAGTAAAAATAGGATATAGAGAATCTGAACCCCACTTTGTGTCAGAGTTTTCAATATGTAGTTTAATGTAACTATTTAAACTGATTTAGGAATAGAGGAGTCTTTGATTTCTCAAAGAGCACACGCGAAAAAAAATCAAAAACAGTTTCCATCACCTCCTCCAATAAACTTTTCATCTAGGGATAAAGACAAGTCATAGAGTGTCTCCATCTCTTTCTTCAGCCGAAGGACTGAGGATATGAGGAGATAACAGAAGAAAAATACAGATGGGACTGGACAATCCGTGGGGAGAAAGCAGCCCCTGGAAAGTGGACAATCGACTCATCATTTCCAGAGCACTAGGTCTAAGACAGCTTGGCTATTCTTTTTTAAACCGAAAAAACAGTGTTTTGTTTTGTTTTGTTTTGTTTTGTTTTGTTTTGTTTTTTGAGACAGAGTCTCACTCTGTCACCAGGCTGGAGTGCAGTGGCACCATCTCGGCTCACTGCAACCTCCACCTCCTGGGTTCAAACAATTCTCCTGCCTCAGCCTCCCGAGTAGCCGGGACTACAGGTGCGCACCACCACACCCAGGTACTTTTTTTGTATTTTTTAGTAGAGACAGGGCTTCACCATGTTGGCCAGGATGGTCTCGATCTCTTGGCCTCGTGATCTGCCTGCCTCGGCCTCCCACAGTGCTGGGATTACTGACGTGAGCCACTGCACCCAGCCAAAACAGTGGTTCTTAAGCTTTTGGGAGGGCTAGACGCCCATTTGAGAATCTGCTAAAGGCATAGGCTCTCTTCCCAGAAATGTCAAGGACATGACCACACTGTGAGCCTCCTGGACTCATCTTGCCACTCCCAGCTATGCAGCCTTTGCAAATGATCTTCCTCCTGAGGTCAGACACGGAAGCATCAGCACTAACAGCAGACTCCGCAGCAGAACTCTTGGCTGGAGCTGGGTTTCAAGCTAATCAATACCTTCATGGATGTTATGAACCCCAGCGACAGCCAAAGGAGGCTAAAGGGGAAGTTAACACCAACTCAGGAAGCACCTCAAAAACCACACCCCAAAGCCTTAAGTTATCCTCTCAAATGTCGATTTTTCCTTTCTTTGCTCCTTGGGGAAAATATCACTGTCTTCCTTTGGGATTAGGGAGTGGGTGTGTTGACAACTTCAAGCACAGTTACTCACCCTAATTTACGATTCATTAGAACAATTGTCTATGATTCAGTCTAAATTAGAATATGGCCTGTGTTACCCCAGACCTGCAGATCGTAGGTTCTCAACCGAATGCTTCAACTCCTTCTCCTTCCAAAGGTTTCACTGCGAGTTTGTGACGCAGCCAACAGGGCTGGTAAAATCTAGAGCTCACAGCACAGGCACCGACTAAGAGTCTGACTGCCCTAAGCTCTCCCTCCAGGCCACTGAATACATCTGTGAGCATGTCTGCTGATGGGGCACACACAGGAGTAAGACAGGCAAGGCCATCAAGCTGGGCTGAGGACCCGCTCCTTATCGCCAACCACAGGTCAGCTCTCTGAGGTCAGTTACCACTTTCTGGTTATCTCTCTTTTTTCATTTCTTTTTCTGGCCCATCCAGTCATTTACTTCTACATCATTAATATAATCATCAGATCAGTAAAAAATACTGAGCCCATAACATTTTTTAAGTCCCTCTTCCTGTTGGGCTAAAACTAAAAGCAGAAGTTATGCCTCAGAACCTAGTAACTGGCATGCATGCTGGGATAAGACCAACTCCAAAACTTCATAACTCTCCACACATTGATTTCTGCCTGAACTTCCTTCCTCCAGGTGCACTCCCACCCCAAAAATGAGGAACTCTGATCCTGTTGTAAAAGGCTTTTGTGTCTGAAAATTGGCATTTTTATTGATTTCCTAGCTAAGATCTCATTCTTCAGCATTCGGCGGCTGCATTTGTTAAAATAACTAAATGGGAGGCCACTCAACGGAGGTGGCTCTAATGCCCTGGGTTGCCACATTATCAAGCAGAAACCTAACTCAGAATTTTAAAGAAAATGAAACAAGCTCAGCCAATCCCAGTTGGCTGAGTGGACACTGGCTATATTATCTTGAACTTCCCACTGGAATAATCCAAATGAGGCAATCGTTCAAACTCTAACCCAGCAAATACTTTCTCTTCTCTGCCTCCATGTTCGACTTATAAAAGCCTCTCCCTCTGCTCCTTCGGTAAAGCCCTGACCCACTTCCAGTGTGAGCTACCCGACTGATGAATCACTGTCTCCGTAAATAAACTCTCTAAAATTTTAATGTGCCAAAGTTTCTCTTTAACACAGTAGAATGCATTGTCAGGAGAGAATGTGGGATCACTTCTCCAAAAAAGGGGCTCCCAGTGGGGCAAGCCCATTTGGTTGGTGTAGAAGGGGTCCTTCCAGAAGCAACAGTTAGGAAATGCCTGGCTGAGCACCACTGCGTGGAACCTTCTGTACAAGATGCCCTAGGGCAAGATGCGAGTGGGGAGGAGCTGATAGTCTGCGTGGGCAGGCAAAGGCAGACAGGCAGAACAGGGTGGGGTGGACTCCTCCTGGGACAGTCTGTGCGTTTGAAATAAATCTGTTAATAACTGCTGGAGGCATGGGGAAATCCCAGAGAGACACTCTCAGATTTAAAACACTAGTAACCTACTATGCATAAGCAAGGAGAAACTGTTTTATTCCAAAGGGAGAAGAATAGAGAGAAGGCAGAGGAAAAGAGGTGGAGAGACTGAAAGGGAGGAGGGGCAGGGAGAAAGGAAGGAGAAGGCTGCACTCTGCGATGTAATTCCTCTGTTCACAAATGTTCAGGAAGCCCATTCAACCCCAAACGCTTGGTATGAGTGATGTCTGTGTCTGTGTGTCTGTCTTAATGTGTGTCTGTGTGTCTGTGTGTGTGTCTTAATGTGTGTGTGTGTTTCTGTTCCTGTGTCTGTGTATCTCTGTGTCTGTCTTAATGTGTGTCTATGTGTCTCTGCATCTGCATGTCTGTTTTAATGTGTGTTTGTGTATGTGTCACTGTGTGTCCGTGTGTTCCTGTGTCTGTGTCTGTGTGTCTTAATGTGTGTCTGTGTCTGTGTGTTTCTGTGTTTGTGTTCCCGTGTCTGTGTGTCTGTGTCTGTCTTAATGTGTCTGTCTGTGTGTCTCTGTGTCTGTCTTCTCGTGTGTCTGTGTGTGTCTCTGTGTGTCCGCGTGTTCCTGTGTCTGTGTGTCTCTGTATGGGTGCCTATGTCTGTGTGTGTCTCCATGTCTTTGTGTATGTGCTTGTGTGTGCCCGTGTTTCAGGCCAGGTTGATGTAGTGCAAAAACCAATCCAGCCAATGTGGAGTCAGAGACTGGAGGCAGAGACAGAAGACCATGGAAACATCTTCCAGAAATAAGCAGGAGCTCGGAGAGAAACTTGGACTTCCTCTGGCCATGGAACGAGGCAGCAGGGGCAGAGTGGCAGGACTGAGCCAAGTACACCCAGAAGCCTCACCAATGTGTGGCTTCCACACCTGCAGCACAGCGGGAGCACTACAGGCCATCACAGAGTCGGCGGGGATAGAAGATTGGGAGAATCACTGTGACCCTTAACATCTTCCATTTGGAGCATTTCTGTTCATTATGCTTCTTAATAAATGTTTGCAGTACATGTTCTCACTTATAAGTGGGAGTTAAATGATGAGAACTTATGAACACAAAGAAGGGGACAACCAACACTGAGGGGTCTACTTGGTGGTGGAGGGTGGGAGGAGGGAGAGGGGCAGAAAAGATAACTATTGGGTGCTGGGCTTAATACCTGGGTGACAAAATAATCTGTACAACAAACCCCTGTGACACAAGTTCACCTATATAACAAACCTTCACATGTACTCCTGAACCTAAAATAGAAGTTTAAAAAAAAAAAGGAAAAAGATTGGTCCCATATTTCAGATATTTTAGAAGCAGTAGAATTGAGAAAATATCCCACTGATGAATTTTCCATAAAATTTATAACTTGAGTTAATTTATGAAAAAATGTCATAATTCAAATAATGATTAACATCTATCTAGCACTTACTCCAAGCCAGGCACTGGTTTTTGTTGGTGGTGGTGGTGGTGGTGTTTTTGGTGTTTTATTTAATCCTTACAATAGCCACATTTACAGATATGATTATCCCTCTTTTCTCCATGAGAAAAATGAGGCACGGAGAGTACCTTGCCTAAGGCCACACAGCTAGAAAGTGTCAAAACTGGGATTTGATACTTTGGGTGCAGATGCTTGGCCACCGTGTGATCCTGCCTGAAAAGCAGAGGTTTTAAGTAACAGGTTAACAAGGGTAAATGGTTTACTCGAAACTGAAATTATGGAAGCTAAAAAATCAAAAGCAGTGAATCAAAATTAGGTAGGAGTTATGCCAGGAAGGTTTCCGGATTTGAAGTGGGGGAAGTTATAGAAACAGGCGCACAAAGATGCCTGTAGCCTCCTGGTTTGTCAGAGCATGGCAGGCAGGAAGACGGCATCTCTGTAACTATCAGGCCATCTTCACAGAAATTACCATTTACCATTCTGTTTTGTTTATTTTTGTTTTGCTTTGTTTGCTTTTAAAACTGGCAAGAAACAAAATTCAGACTAACAGCCAATGATGGTAAGGGTGTAAGGAAATGGGTCCCCTATTGCCTGTGGCATTGTAGATTGGTACAACCCAGTTGAAATGTATTATGATTTGGCAATATATCTCAAGAGCTATAAAAATATCCAAGCTCTCTGAGCCAGCACTTTCATTTCTAGGAGTCTACTCCTGGAAATAAAACACTCCTAGAACATGAAGGGGAAGGAACTATGTGCACAAGAAGGTTCACTGCACTAATACTTACAGGAACAAGGTAGTACAACTGGATAAATAAGCTTCTAACATTAGAGACATGTTAGGAAAACTGTGTTAATGTTCATAACACTACTGTTTATTAAAATGATGATTATGAATACTAGGAGACAACATGTAAAATGATAATGAGTGCTACAGTGTTAAATAATATGTACACATAAATATACATACATATGCTGATCCCCAGAGAAATCTGTTTATTTCTGTTACCATTTTTTTTTCAGACACAGTCTTGCTCTGTTGTCTAGGCTGGAGTGCAGAGGCACTATCTCAGCTCACTGCAACCTCTACATCCTGGGTTTAAGCAATTCTCATGCCTGAGCCTCCTGAGTAGCTGGGATTATAGGCACATTCCACCACACCCAGCTAATTTTTTTGTATTTTTAGTAGAGACGGGGTTTTGCCATGTTGGCCAGGCTGGTCTTGAATGCCTGACTTCAAGTGATCTGCCAGCCTTAGCCTCTGATGTGGTTTGGCTCTGCGTTCCCACACAAATCTCATCTTCAATTGTACTCCCATAATTCCCACATGTTGTGGGAGGGACATGATGGGAGATAATTTTAATCATGGGGGTGGTTTCCCCCATACTGTTCTCATGGTAGTGAATAAGTCTCATGAGATCTGATAGGTTTATCAGAGGTTTCTGCTTTTGCAAATTCCTCATTTTCTCTTGCCGCCACCATGTAAGAAGTGCCTTTCACCACCTGCCATGATTCTGAGGCTTCCCCAGCCACGTGGAACTGTAAGTCCAATTAAACCTCTTTTTCCTCCCAGTCTCGGGTATGTCTTTATCAGCAGCATGAAAATGGACTAATACAGCCTTCCAAAGTGCTGGGATTACAGGCATGAGCCACTGCGCCTGGCACCGTTTTTAAAAACAACTAGCAACCTAAGGAAAAACCTCGAAGAATATCCATCAAAATGCAAAGAATAATTATTATAAAGTAACAGCAATATCAGAGTCTTTATTCTCCTTTTGACAAATTTTCTGTTATGTGCTTAAATTACTTTTTAGCAAACCAAAGCAGTGAAGAGAAGAACCTCCTTCTTATTGGCAGGCAACCCCACACTCACCGTGAACACTTTCTCTGGGGTCCCCTTAGCTCTCATGTTGGTGTCATGGACTTGCTTGAGAATCATCCAGGCTTCGTCATGTTTTCCCATCTGGTGAAACCAAGGAAAGACACAGGAAAAATTCATTGCTGACTATGCCTTCTGTTCATTAGGGGTGGAAAATCCGACGAACTCAATGGGAATGTTGATATGAGCATTCCTACCAGGTCTGAGGCAATTGCATGTGGACTCATTACCATCTAGGACCTGTGAAAGACCAGGACAAGCTTCCATCCCCAGCCAATCTTACAAGGATAATAAGGTCGTGCTTTCAAGGTGTAAATGCTAGATAGTATTATCATTATACACTCTAAGTAACTAATCGCAGTTATTAGGTTCCTCACTGATGAGATAAGGCAAAGAAACAATGTGTTACAGGTTGAACTGTGTCCCCCCAAAAAAGATATGGTGAAGTCCTAATCCCCAGTACCACAGAGAGTGACTTTATTTGGAAATAGGGTTGTGGCAAGTGCAATTAGCTAAATTAAGATGAGGACATTCTGGAGTGGGTGGAGCCCTGATTCAACAGAACAGCTGCCCTTATAGGAAGACATCCATATGGAGACACAGAGGCATGCAGGGAGGACACCATGTGATGATGAAGGCCACGACTGGAGTGATGCAGCTGCAAGCCAGGGAACGGTCAAAATTGCCGCAAACCACCAGAATCTGGAAGAGGCAAGGAAGGAGTCTCCCCTACAGTTTTCTGAGGGAGCATGACCTTGCTGCTGCTTTGATTTGGGACTTCAAGCCTCTGAAACTGTGAGACAAATCTGTCTTTTAAAGTCACTCAGTTTGTGGCATTTTGCTACAGCAGCCCTAGGACACTCCTATCCGACCAAGGGTGCAAAACTCCCTGTTGCATCTGCCTCCTGATCAAAGGGGTGAACAGGGACATTCAACATGGAGGATCACTCTGCAGAAGGCTTAGGAAGGAGGCAGATAAGTAGACTCTGCAGATCGGGGCTGGAAGAGCCTCAAGGTCCTGTTGCCCCTCTGCCTGCTCCGGTACTGTCTGACTTCTGCAAGCAGAAGGCTCCCCCGCTGTTGGAAGGCTCATGGGACTCATCTCTCAGGACACAGATGCAGCTGTGGGGACCCTGTGTAGCTAAGAGACCCGAAAGGCTTGGGAGCAGCAAGAAGCTGTACCATAGCTCTCACTGCCAAACACAGAAAAACAGCAGCTCTAAAGAGCTTGCTTCCTTCCTTCCTTCCTTCCTTCCTTCCTTCCTTCCTTCCTTCATTTACTTACTGAGACAGGGTCTCTCTTTGTTACCCAGAGTAGAGTGCAGTGACACAACCATGGCTCCCTGCAGGCTTGATCTCTGGGGCCCAAGCAGTCCTCCCACCTCAGCCTCCAAGTAGCTGGGACCACAGGCATGCATGCACCAAATCGCTCAGCTAATTTTTTTTATTTTTGTAGAGATGAGGTCGCCCTATGTAGCCCAGGCTAAAAAACTTCCTAATCAGGACCTCGGGGGACAGTGGGTGCCATGAGGCAGCTCAGGAGCTGCCTTCCACCACTGCACAGTCTTGGGAAGGAGCTCCTGCTCTGGGCTCCACAAGCTCTTGAACCTTCCAGCATTTACAGTCCGTGAATCCATGACCTGCCACCATCACAGCAGGCAGGGTGCCAGATTTAATGATGAGTGAGGTCAGCCAACCTGGGGGAGTCTGCAACGCGTAAGCAGCAGAGGATGTGGGACTAGGGACTGAGAGAAGGAAGCGAGGCTGGATTCCGGTGGCTGTTTTGTCGCTCTTCCCCTGGTGGAAAAGCACTGACTCACCTCTAGCAGAAACCGTGGGCTCTCTGGCATGAACTTCAGGGCCACCATGGACACAGTGCAGGGCAGAGCACAGACGATGACAAACACTCTCCAGCTATGGAAGTGGTAATTGGTCCCCATGCTGAAGCCCCAGCCTGCAAAGGAGCAGTCAGTCAAAGGATTTCTGGGACATGATGTTTTCCTCTACAGAAGAGTGACTCTGAAGCCCTGGCTCACAAACTTCAGGGCACAAGATAATCACCCAGGGAGGTGGTTAAAATGCAGACTCCTCAGCTGTGCCTCCAAAGCTTCTGAGTGGTAAGTCTGGGATAGGAGCTGCATCTTGACAAATCTGCAAAATGATATTTCTCACATTGCAAATTTGTCAAAATCTGCATTCTGACAAATCCCCAGGTCCAGGCCTGGCCTGACATTTACAGAGCCTTGGATAAGAGTACAAACAGAAGCAATAGGCCATATCTCTATAGAATCATTGTATTTTTAAGATGGCAAATTGTTAAATGAAATCTATTCTATCTGCCTGCCTTGACAAGCAACAAGCTAGAAGTCTAGGCCCAGAATTTATACCCACATGTGCCACATCCCCTTTTCAATCCCCCAACCCCTCCTTCCAAGTGAGGGATCTCATGCAGACATGCGTGGACACACCACTGTGATGAGAATGGGCACTCCTGTCTTGATTTCTTGAGTCTACGGGAATTCCTGGGTCCTGAGCACCCACAGCATAATCTGGATGGAGATGGGGATGGGGGTCATGGCCTCAGAGATCCCTTGCCTCGCGGGAAGGGGTGCAGCCAGATGAAGGCCAGAGCAGTGCCTCATACGGCCCAGGGCTTCTATTGGAGATCCCTCTTTCCAACGTCAAAGGGCAATGCCAGCTCCAGGTGATTCCAGTGCAAAGGGTTCAGGACCCCATTTTGAAAAACACTGTAAGTTGTTATATGACTACACAATTTTTTTAAATGAGAGACTGAACTTCTACATTCAAAGGCATCCTATCATCATTGAAATGGGAAGATAACTAGCTCCTATTCAATCATCATTATTGAAAGCATTGCTAAAACTCATCTTCAGAAATTACATTGAAGCATTGTTTTGAATATCCTCATAGGCAGCAAACTTCCCTCTTTTAAGTAATAAAGTGGAAAGAGCCTAGACTTTTGCAGTCACAGAGATCAGAGTTCTGGTCTGATCCTATGGAATCGCATTCGTGGGTTTTCACAGCTGTAGAATACAGGTAATGATACCTCCATAGATTTGTCATGTGTGAACGCTCCTAGCAACCCATCATACTTAACCTGCTTTGAGAGTACATTTGATTTTTTTTAGAAATAGCTCCATGACATTTAGTGCCAAGGATGTTGAATAAAATAGATAAATATCAGCAAAGATCAGCAGAAGAATTTAAAAAAAAATAGAGCCGAGATTATAAAATAGACTGGTTTTCTCATGCCATGAAGTATTTCTGAAGACAATTCAAATGGTATTTGTGAAAGACAAGACTATGTAAATAAATATATCTATTTATAAAGTTTAGAGGGCAATAGTTATTTTGATATAAAACTTCTATTTCATTTACTTAGAAATATAACATATGGCCAACTCCAGTGGCAAACAGCTTGCCTTGAATTTTTATTACTCTGTTGTGGTTCAACTTGTTCTACACGCAGCAGACTCTTAACCAATTATCTGCTGTTCCTGCAGATATTTTCTACTCTATTTGTACAATTAAAAGACTAGGTAGCGGGAATCCCAGTTTGGAAATGTGGGACTGTGGTCCCTTGGACACCTTTGGCCACAGCAACTGAACACACACCTCATCCAATACACTCAATCAGAATCGAATCTCTTTTTGCACAGCTTGGTCTCTTATCATCTCACTGAGGCTTGTTCGTTCACTTTAATTTTAATTTAAAAACCTTTTCTTTCTCCTGGGAGTAACACTAGAAAGAGGGAGATAAAACCATAGCAATATTTACACATTCTCAGCTCATGTGCAAAAACTATTCTGGCATCATTAGAAGTAAAGGTGATCAAAACCACACAGCAGTCAAACTCAGATGGATAACCAAGGAAGAGGGGCAGAAGCAGTTATGTTTATAAAGTATTCTCCTTCAAAAAGATCTTTTTCTTTATTATAATATGCACAAATTATACAAAATCCATTATTCCCTCACGCCTCTCTGACTTTTATGGTGATTTCAGTAATCTGCATTTATCACATTCATTAGGCACATCTTCGGGGCCTTAAATTAAATAAAATTAAATGGCAAACTGCTTCCAAATATTTGGAACAGTATTAATTTGGAGGAAGAGATTGTTCTGTTTGCTGATCTTCTAGCTTGCCCTACTTTTCTCTGTCAGGATTTCACAAACAGCTGGTAATGCTGACTACAATGGGAATTAATCTTTCATAATATATCCATTTTTTTCTGAGCTTTACCCATGAGTTCACAGGAAAACATTCTGAGCTTTGTAATTTTCTTTCTCAATGAGCCAGTCACTCAAATTCCTGGTGCCAAGACTTTCCCTTACTTCAGTTTTGCAAAATCAATTAAACAGACTACACAAGCTGTACACACAAATATCAGTCTCTTCTCTAAAGTTACACTTGCATTTGTTAGAGGATTAATGCATTAGGCACATTGGAAAACACCATCAAATGTCTGGTTCACTGTGGACAAAACATCCGAGGCTTAAGGTAAATAATGGCTCTTGTTACACTGTGATTCTAGCCTACCATATTTCTAGGATGGATTTCCCACAAGTGAACGCCTGTTTCAATTAAGCCTATCATCCAGGAGGCTTCTATTTTAAAATGGAGTATAAAAGTCACAGATATCATACAGGCATACACATAGGGAAATGTCCTGTCCATTTGGGGTAAAATAATTTTTTTAACTTTTTATTTCCACAGATTATTGGGGAAGAGGTAGTGTTTGGTTACATGAGTAAGTTCTTTAGTGGTGATTTGTGAGATTTTGGTGCACCCATCACCCAAGCAGTATACACTGCACACAATTTGTAGTCTTTTATACCTCACCCCCTTCCCACCCTTTCCTCAAGTCCCCAAAGTCCATTGTGTCATTCTTACGCCTTTGCATCCTCATAGCTTAGCTCCTACGTATGAGTGAGAACTTACAACGTTTGGTTTTCCATTCCTGAGTTACTTCACTTAGAACAATAATCTCATTTGGGGTAAAGTATTTAACCACAAGCAATGCTGTCAGCCTGCAGTGGTCAGACAGTTACCACGGGGCCCCTCTGCCATGGACATCCCATCTATGTTGGTCAACATGTCCCAAACCTGAATTCTTTTATTGCTTTCCTAGAAATCAGACACTGACACAGTAGTGTGTGCCTTTGCGTAAGTGTGTGTGTTTGTGAAGTGAAAAAAAGATGCAGTTTGTAGTGACTATTGTGGGTTGCTAGCTTCCCTCACAACATCCTCCTACCTTTTCTTCACCACTGCGTTGCACACCTGTGGTTTCGGTGGGACTGACCCTATCCCTAGCTCCAGGGATGGGGACAGAAGTGGATCTAAACCCTTCTGGACCTGCACCCCCTGGTGTATAGTGGTTGGCTGTGGTGGACACATGACCAAGGCTGATCCAATCAGAGGGAAATCAAAGACCCTTTCTCATTGGTCGAGTGTGAGGGTGGGCTTTCCCCATGAAACAAGTAGTCTGCAAATAGAAAGCCTGGTATTGCTAATGCTTCCAGGAGGGAAGTTAGCCTGAGTACTAGAATTATCCTGGAATTTTTCTCAACATTAATTCCTCTGTGTACCCCAAGAATTGCCAAAGGTTTGGGCTGGCAGGTATATCTACAGCTGATTCTTTTTGTGTCCTTTCTCCCCTCCATTTTACAGGTGAGGGAACCCAGGCTGAAAAGATGGATTGACTTGTCCCATATCACACAGCACCACTATTTGGATTCAGCTTTTATTCAGATGTAAGTTGCTTCCCTCCATAAAAGGGTTTTCAATCACTTCATTTAAATGTGAAAATAGGCCGGGCACTATGGCTCACACCTGTAATCCCAGCACTTTGGGAGGCTGAGGCGGGTGGATCACTTGAGGTCGGGTTCAAGACCAGCCTGGCCAACATGGTAAAACCCCGACTCAACTAAAAATACAAAAATTAGCTGGGTGTGGTGGCTCACACCTGTAATCCCAGCTACTTGGGTGACTGAGACACGAATATTGCTTGAACCTGGGAGGCAGAGGTTGCAGTGAACTGAGATCATGCCACTGCACTCCAGGCTGGGTGACAGAGCGACACTCTGTCTCAGAAAAAAAAAAAAAGTAACAATAATCCCTTAGTATTCAAACATTTGGATCAACTAACAGGGAAAATGATATTGTATCAAGAATTGTGAGGAAAAAAAGGGAAAAAAAAGCAATGCCTCAAAACCATATAATCAACAGCATAGTACATGGGCAATTAAAGTGTGCATTTGAGTGAGGGATAAATTGCAGAACCTGATAGTAGCAGCAATACAATTTTGTATCTAAAATTATGGAGAACTAGAGTGACAGAATTGACTGGACCTGCATCCCCTGGTGTATAGTGGTTTATTTTACCATTCCTTTATTTCACTATTCTTTATTTCACTATTCCTGTTCATATTTATCCTGTTTCTGATATATTTCAACTCTTTATTTCACTATTCCTGTTCATATTTATCCTGTTTCTGATATAAAATCCAGTGAATTTTCAAGTGCTAGATATGGCAAAGACAACATGGTCTTCCCAAAACCACTTCCTCTACTTTGTGGGCACACAGCTAGATTGTTACCCAGTGTCCCTTGCAGGAGGGTGTGGGCATGTTACAGATCAGGGGCCACTGGAATATGAGCAGAGATGGTGAGTGTGCTCTACTTCCTGGCCTTTAGCCAGTCTACAACTGCCCAATCTCTTTCCCCAAACCAGAGACCTTGTAAACTGTGTGTTGAAGATGACAGAATGACACAATGGAAGGAGTCTAAACTCCAGAATTATTGATGGAGTGGAGCCACCTGCAGATCAGAAATGCCAGCCGGACCTCACATAAGCGAGAAGCTTTCACTGTGTTAAAACACTGAGATTTCAGGGTTTATCAGTTTGTCAGGGTAATGTACCCAGTAACAGCTTAATTAATATAGTAGGTACTGTCTAAACCAAAGCTTGTTCTTAAAAAGGTATACATGGAGCCTCCGTGAGCCTCCATTAGCTCAGAAAGCACAGCAGAGAGGGTCATATTTAAAACAAGGCAATAAATAGGTGGTAAAGTGTCAGTCAGCTTCAGGGGAAAGTGTCTGCTACCCCCTCAGGGTCTGAGGATTCTAAATCACTGCTAAACCTATACTCATAATCAGTGATTTACCAAAAATGATTTTGAATGATGATGAGAGTATTACTCAGTATACTCCAAAAGCAGAATCAAAGTCAAAATTGCTGCCTTCTCCCTACTTTGCTCCTGATGAAACCAGTAGTAAAAGTTGATGTTTCCATGTCTCTGTCCAGAGAATACAGTGCTTACAATTATCCAGGAAAATAAAATTGTCCCGGCTGAAACCATGACCTTGTCTATAAGGGCTGCTGCACTTCCACAGTCAAACAAGAGTGACAGCAGGCACTAGGGTAGAAAGAGTACAAGCCTACCGCACCTGAGGGGACATCAGGACTCCAGCCCCCACTCCACCACATGCCAGGGACATGGTCTTGAGCGAGTCACCAACTTCTCTTGGCTTTTGTCACTTACCTGTCATCTATAAAATGAGGTTACCAAAGCCTAACTTGCTCAGGGGGAGGAGGGCTGGAGGAGATGAAAGTTGAAATTATTTCAAATAAAAGTAAGGAAACAAGAAAAGGAGAGAGGGAAGGAGACAGGGAAGAATGAAGGAAAGGAAGGAAGGAGGAAGAGAGGGAGGACAGGATATATTTTTCAAAAAAGACATGTGAATTGAAATTAACAATGTGTCTGCAATGTTAGAAGTTGTTAAGAAAGATCAAGGTCACATATGGGAACTATGCGTGAGTACATGAAATAAGGCTGAGGATAGGAACTATTGTTTGGGTGCAGGAGCCATAGAAACAGGGGCCCCTAGGCTGTTTTGAGCCATGGCTCACCATAGTGTGGAATGATGCTCCAGGCCATGGCAGATGCGTAGAGGCCCCCAGTCATCCAGAAGATGCCCAGCCAACTGAGGTGTTCTCCTCGCTTCTCCCGAGACAAGAATTCAGAAAAATAGGCAAAAACAATTGGCAGAGCACCCCCAATACTGCAGAGGGAAAAGTCCAGAGAGAAAGAATCAAGTCATACACTAAAAATGGTCATAGCAGAAACCAAGTTGCCTATACCCCACCTTAGACTCTGTGGTGAAATGACCCAGTTAATTTGAGGGACCAGCCAGGTAGTTCCCCTCTACATGTGGGAAGCAGTCTTGGATTATTTTGACACTGCATGCTGACTTCAGAGGCTAATCCTAACCCTAACTCTTTCTAAGGTTCAACTTTAATATGGTATCCTGAAAGTCAAACACAAACTCAAATCAGTCCAAGGGTTTCTGGAGTTATCTCTCAGAGCTAGAGTACCAGAATGGATGGGCCATTGGTCTGGGAGGGTCCAGCTCCAGCTCCCTAAGAACATACCCGATGCCTGAGATGAGTCGGCAGAAGAGGAAGGCTCCATATCCCTGCACGAAGGAAGAGAGGGAGGCGAAGGAGGCATTGACGGCCAGAGACATGCTGAGGACTCGCTTCCTTCCCAGCTTATCAGCCAGGCCTCCCAGGATGAAGGCCCCCGCCATCATTCCCAAGTAGACTATCATCCCTGCAATGAGGGGAAGGAGGGGCGAGAATAGAGAGAAAAGACAAAAGATTAGATTCTGTATAATGTTTATAAAATACAGTGTTCATTTTTACTTATCCTAGAATTTCTGTGTCATAGACACAAAATGGTGGAATGTGATATTTGTGGCAAATTGGAAGTACTATACAAATACAACTTTTTACAAATGTTATCTTAAAAATGGCCTTACCAGGTTTATACACATGTACACAGACTAACGCATATCAACCAAAACTGAGATAGCTGTAAGACCACCCATTTAGGTGCATCATCTGCAGACAAGGGAAATGCTGTAATTTTTTAAGCAAGAAAAATGTTTGTGTTGCAAAAGCCCTCAACTGGTAGATTATGTTTAAGGAGAGAATTTCCAGGGTAAAGTGTGGCAAAGTGGATATGGGAAATGTTAGGAAGGAAGAACATGGTAGAAGTGAAAAACAGCAATTGAAAGCAACGCCAGCTATGTTATTACCACCCAAGAAGGACCTTTCTTCAAGCTACAACCAATGTCTAGGCTTAAGGAAATGTAGCATATTTGTATATGGTGTGAGATAAGGGTCCAGTTTCACTCTTCTGCATGTAAAATCCAGTTTTCCCAATGCAACTTATTGAAGAGACTGTTTTTCCCCTATTGTGTGTTCTTGTCACTTTTGTTGTAAATCAATTGACCATAAATGTGTGATTTTATTTCTAAGCTCTCTATGCTATTCCATTGGTCTATATGTCTGTGTTTATGCCAGTACCATTTTTTTAAAATCACTATAATTTTGTAGTATATTTGAAAGCAAGTAGTGTGATGCCATCAACTTTGCTCCTTTAGCTCAAGACTGCTTTCCCTATCCAAATCTTTTGTGGTTCTATATGAATTTTAGGATTTTTTTTTTCTATTTCTATGAAAAATGCCATTGGAAGTTTGATAGGGACTGCATTGAATCCGTAGATTACTTTGGGCAATATAGATACTTTAACAATATTAATTCTTTCTATTCATAAACATGGGATATCTTTCCATCTATTTGTGTCTTCTTCTATTTCTTCGTCAATGTCTTACAGTTTTCAGTATAAAGACCTTTCATTTCTTTGGTTAAATTCATTCCTAAGTACTTTTTAATGTTATCGTAAATGAGATTGTTTCTTAGATTTCGTTTTCAGATACTTCATTGTTAGTATATAGAAACACTACTATTTTTTATGTTGGTTTCTTATTTTGCAACTTTACTGAATTTGTTTATTAGTTCTAACAATTTTTTGGTGGCATCTTTAGGGTTTTCTATGTATAAGATGCCATCTGCAGAAACCATTTTACTTCTTCATTTCTGATTTGGATGCCTTTTATTTCTTTTTCTTGCCTAATTGCTCTGTGTTGAATAGAAGTGGCAAGAGTGAGCATTCTTGTCTTCTTGCTGATATTAGGGGGAAAGTTTTCAGCTTTTCATTATTGATTATGATTGTCAGTTGTGAGCTTGTCATACATGGCCTTCTATACCTAATTTGTTGAGAATTTTTATCATGAAAAGATGCTGAAGTTTTGTCAAATGCTTTTTCTGCATCTATTAAGATGATCATATGATTTTTATCCATTATTATGTTAATATGGTATATCACTTTTATTGATTTGCACATGTTTAAACATCTGTTCATGCCAGGCACAAATCCCACTTGATCGTGGTGTATGATCCTTTTAATGTGCTGCTGAATTTAATTTGCTAGTATTTTGTAGAAGATTATTGCATCTGTGTCCATCAGGAATATTGACCTGTAATTTTCTTTCCTTGTAGTGTTCTTCTCTGGCTTTGGTATCAGAGTAATGCTGGACTTGTAAAATGAGTTTGTAATATTCCTTCCCCTTCAATGTTCTGGAAGAGTTTGAGAAAGGTTGGCATTAATTATTCTTTAAATGTTTGGTAGAATTCAACAGTAAAGCCAGCAGGTCCTAGGCTTTTCTTTGTTGAGAGGTTTTTGGTTACTAATTCAATCTCTTTAGTCATTACTGGTTTGTTAAGATTTTCTATTTCTTCACAACTGAGTCTTGGTGGATTGCATGTTTCTAGGAATGTATGCATTTCTTCCAGATTACACAACTTGTTGTGTGTAACTTTTCATAATAGTATCTGTGATCCTTCATATTTCTGTGGTATCAGTTGTAATGTCTTCTCTTTCATTTCTGATTTTATTTGAGCCTTCTTTTTCCTTAGTCTAGCTAAAAGTTTGTCAGTTTTGCTTATCTTTTCAAAAAACCAGCTCGTTGCTTTAACTATTACACTTTGCTGCTCTTTATAGATAGCGTTGGTTAGATTCCTTCGCTCTACGTTAGTCCATTCTTTCTTCATCTGCTCACCTCCAGTATTGCTTGCCAAGTGAGGAATGGTTCCATCCTTTCAAGGAGATAAACAATAAAATGTAAGATTATCTCTGAGTGAGAAAAAAGGTGCCCAATAAAGATATCTGTCAGGTATTATTAAAACCCAGAAGAAGAGCAAACCTTGGATATAATTCACTCAATGTGGGAAGGCTTCCAAGAGAAAGACGTTGAGCTGTTCTTGAAAGACAAACAGAATTTAGTCTGATTTCCATTTGGTGACTGAGGCAAAAAGAAAGTCTGATATGTTTGGGCAACTTCTTGTAAGTGGCCTAGCATGAGTACAGCATAGTTCATGTAGGGGAACCTGATGAGGGTTCAGGCTAGAGGGTAGGACAGGAGCCAGATCATAAACGTGTGTGTGTGTGTGTGTGTGTGTGTGTGTGTGTGTATGTGAAAATGTAGATGTATGGATGCATGCATGTGTGATTGTGTGTGTGCACATGGGTGTTTGCATGCATGTGTATGGGCCCATAAATTGAAAGCAGGGAGAGCGAAAAGAGATTTAGAGGAGTGGTCCAGAGATTTGCTGAGAGCTAGTCTCTATAGCCCATACTCTGATTCCACCCTAGAGAAAAGCACTAGCATCCAATAAAAGTCTGTTTTTTCTTTTACTTCAATAAAGCTATCTTCAGCACTTCTCAAACTTTACTGTGCACATAAATCACCTGGGGATCTTGTCAAAATCATATTCTGATACAGCAGGCCCGAGAACGGGCCCTGAGATTCTGCATCTCTAACAAGCTGCCAGCTGAGGCCAGTGCTGCTGGTCTGGGGACCACATTTTGAGTAGCAAGAGGCTAGAGCACATCTGTCCTCCTGTAAACAGTAAACAGTGATGAGAATCCAGGCCTTAGAACCCAAAGATCTCATTCACTAGTTGTACAATTTGGGAGCAAAACCTCTCACTTTCTGAGGGTATTAATCACCTCATTTATAAACTGATTACTGAACTAGAGATGATCTCCAAGTTGCCTTCCCATTCATTAATTTTACATTAATTTTTTTAAAATGTAAATAATGAAAGATGAAGTACTGTGGATTTCCCAGGAAGAAGATATTCAGATTAAAAACATAAACTCAGACACAAATGTTTGATTAGACTACTTAAGGCCATACAAGGCATCTTTATGACATTGTACACATGGATCAAAATATCACAGGTGCTCCAAAATAGGTACAACTATGATAAATCAATTTAGAAAGAATCAAATAACAATAATAAAGATCTCATTAACAAAAAAGTGGCTTCTAGCCTACCAGTTTGCAATCTTAGCAATGAACATTGTGCAGCTATGAAGTTATTGCCTCTCAGCTCCAAAGCCACCCTTCTAGACCTTACTTGGTCCACAAATCCCAGCCACTCTCTGCTAGGCTCTGCCAATAGAGGGCGCTAGAGGGAGGCTTCAAGGCTGGGGAAGGAAGAAAGGACTTGTCCTTTCTGTTCCTGTAGTTTCACCCTGACTGCCGCAATTCCTTTCCAGACAGCAGCTGCACCCAATTAGCACAAGCCACATTGCACTTCATTCTCCTCTCCAACACCAGCAACTGCCGGCCAGGGCCTCTCTTCAGAGAGCTGAGTTGCAGCTTCATGGAACCCCTTTTCAAGATTCTAAGTTATAATCATTCCAATCTCTTTCCTTTATTCTCCAAGCCCTAGGGGAGGCAGTTTCTCCCTGCATGTACTACCTCAGTGATACTTTTCAAAAGCATTTCAACCCACCCTGTTAATAATTTTTACATTAAAATCTCTCTTTTCAAATAACTGGTATGATTTCTGTCTCCTGACTATCCCATGACTGATCTAGACACCTAGACAAATTGAAAAACTTTAGAAGTCAGATGTTGAATTCAACCCCTTAATTTTACCAGACGAGGAGGCTGAGCCCCAGAAAGGGTCAATAACTTGCCCAGAACCTCAATGCTGGCCGAAGACTTGCTGGCACTGCATTTCTGGTCTCCTGGTTCCAGGCCTGGTGCTTTCACTACTAAACCTCACTGTCCAAGGCCGTGGAGGTACCAGAGAGAATAAGAAGAGCTTTTCAAATTCTGTCTTTGAAGTCTAGGAAAAGGAAGAATGAAGGAAAAATGAGCCTATCACCAGGGAAGGGAAATACCAAATTAACAATGTCTCTGGAATGTTTATGTTATTAGATTCATTTAAAATCTGTCTTTAGCAAAAGAAATTTAAAAAATACATTTGGAAAATTAGAGTGCAATGGAGTTATCAAAAATTACTTTAGTGTGAAGCAGATAAGGAACTAGTTAGAAAGCTAGAAATTCAATCATCCTTCAATTTCAGTCAACAAGCTCACTGGCATATTAGGGAAATGACCCTAATATACCGAGATTTTTGAGGAAATTGAAAACCAGGATTGCTACTTGCAGAGTAGAGGAGGAGGAGGAGGAGGAGAAGGAGATTGAAAGGAGGAGGGATGTGGCGGAGTGGAAGAGACTTTTAGTTGGTGGTAACACAACAAAGGAAATAGAATACCCCTCCTTGGAAGAGGGAGGAGCCTGCAGTGACAGGCACCAGGCAAGAAAGATCCCAATTCTGAGACTGAGACATCTGGGCCGTGGTCCTGGCTCCATGATTACCACAGCATGACTGTGGGCTGCCCATTCA